AGCCAGCGCAGAAATTGAATTGACTATAACAAGAACAGCTTTTACTAACTGAAACACCAGCCTGCACAGGCTACATGTGAAACAAGAGAAGCATCTAGTTGCTGAAACTCAGCTTTTAAAAGCTTAGAGAAAAACCAGCTCCTTTTTTGCCAGCCACCTGCGCACAAGTAGGTCAATCTGACTCATCAAGTCTTGGCTTCTTGGTGTGGGTGCCACTCTTCACATAGCTCCTTTTGTTTCCTTTTGTAAGACACTCATCAATATTTTCCATGATAAAATCACAGACCTTTGTAAGCGAGGCAGGGTCCAAGGGCACCAGGATGTCGGTTTCCTTCCAAGACTTTGGCGTTTTCAATTCCACCGCATGGGAGCCAAGCTGGACAGAGACTTTTGGAGGGGCCTTGAGCAATTTATCCTTGTACTCATTCTTCTTGGGGCCCTTCTCATCTTTCTCAACGCTTTCTGTTTTCTCATCTTCAAAGGGGTCTGGCCCTTCTGCTTCCATGGCAGAAACTGAAATGCCAACAGCTTCCTTGATCTTCTCCTGGATGGCCTTCAGCTGGGGCGAAGCTGCCAGAGAGGGGTTCTTGACCTCCTTGTAGGCAGGCATGTGACCAAGCACCAGCCTAGTGATAATGTGGTTGCTTGCCCTAAGCTTCAAAAATGTTTCTCCATCATCACCGTGAAGGACCAGGCTGTCAGGAAGATAGACTTGGGGCCCATCCCTGTAAGTCAACGCAATGACTTCAGAGACCTGCATGGCTGGTTGCACAAGCAAGTGGCAGAACCCTAGAGAGCCAAAAGAGACAAAGAGTAAAACTGAAACCCTTGAAGGGAACAAAGCTTGCAGAAGCTGGGGACCCATGCCAGCCTGTAAGAGCTGCCAGCCACCCAAGCACATCAAAAAGCTGTTTACACCAGCCTCCATTGGCTTGAAGCTCGGCAAGTTCTTTTGGATCACAGATGCAGCAGTCAAATGTTGAAGCATGTTTGCACATGTAGGCGCTGGACAAGTGGCAGGGCAGCTCATTTGACCTTCCTCTTCTTCGTTCCATCTTCTGATGGCTCACAAAGCAAGGCAACACCCTTGTCAATTTGCTTCTTGTTGGTGCACGCAGGGATGTGCAAAGGGCCAAGTTTCACTGAATGCTTTTGCAAGCAAGCATCTTCAGGTTTTGCTGCTTCCTTGACCATCCAATATGGGATGAACAGCCCACTCCCCTTTTGGAAATCGCACCTCCATGGTTGCACCACATAGACTTGGCCAACTAAGTCATTGGAAGTGATGATGCACTGTGTCTTCGAAACTTGGTCAGCAGAGGCTACTTGCAAGGAGCCCATAGGAAGCAGTAACAGCTTGCCCTTGTTGATCTTGCTGCCAGCAAAGATCTGGTTCTGATTGGAAACCAGCACATCCACGTCTCCAATCCTGATGCTGAAAAAGCACACAGAACATTACACAAAGACATTTTAATAGCACGTTCAGAAGCCACCTTTGCCACAACACAGTAATGCAGTTGAGGTGCTCTTGGAATTTCTCATATAAGGCAACTTGTGCTCGAGCTTTGGCCAACTCCTCCTGCATAAATGGAGAAGCACAAGGAAGCATCTTGGACCTCACAGCGTCACCAACCAAGTGAGGTACTTGCTTGGTCCATTCTTTCAAGATTTTCAAATCTTTGTGCAAGACTTCCTTCCTCTCCTCAGGTTCGAAGAAGGGCCTATGTACCAACTTCACCCTTTCATCTGTCACATCTGTCAAGAGCCAAATCTTCGTCTCATTCTTGAAGGTGTAGTGGCCCCCCAGCTTGATGTGCTTGTGGGCCTGCAAAGCAATGGCTTTGGCATCAGTGGCTTCAGCCAAAGCCTTCACAGAACTCTTGTCATCGGAGCTTGCAGCAGCCTGGGAACTTTGCTCTGGATTGGTGGTGACATTCACAATGTCCTTTGCAAATTTCTCTTTGATCTCTGCCATGTCCTTGTACTGCACCATCTCCCTTCCTTTTTTCTGCAAGAGATGCAAAGCAAGGCGCATTTGCAGCTTCCCAAATGGCAGTGCCATTTTTTCCAAAGGTAGCTGGGCATGCATCGCCATATTCCAGCCTGCATGCATGATAGCTTCTGCTTTCAAAACTTCTGGCACCATTTTCTTGTTCTTCAACTTGTCCCAGTCTGCTTTCACCACCAGCCTGCTGAAGCCATCCTTGATGGCATGCTTTGGCGCGGTGATCTGGCAGCATGCCAAAGCCACCCGAATGAAAGGAAAGGTGGTGCTTGGCTCCTTCCAGTCGCAATGGGCTAAGAGGTTGGTGAATTCCTCACCAAAGTGCGTGGTTCCACCAAAGTGTTTGCCTTAGCTTTGCCATGCGCATTACAACACCAAAACTTGCAAAATGTGGCAGGGGCCTTTATTGGCTCTGGCTCTGTATGTAGCTGGTCTCAGCTTGAAAAAATCGAAAAGGCATCAGAAGCCTTTATTGGCTTTGGTTTTGGCAAGCTTGCATTAGCTACACAGACACTTGCACATGGAAGCAGAAGCTTTTACTAGCTTTCGGTTTTCATGCAGCTGAGGCACCAATGTAGTCCAGGTACTTCAGCAATTCAAAGGACTCTCCACCAGCAAAATTAGCCACGAAGTCGCCCACAGACTTGATGTAAGCTTTGCAAGGGGGGACTGAAGCAGCAGCTTGAGCAACTGCTTTCTTGAGGTCCTTTTGCCCTTCTGGCTGCATCCTGTAGAAAGTTGCAATACTAAGGGCCACTTCCAACTCATTGGGCGCTTTGGCGATGCTGTGGTCGCCTAGTTGCAAATGGCGAAAAGGAAAAGCAAAAAAAGTCCCTTAGCAACTTTGGGGAAGCATGTCACACAAAACATCCTTAGCAAATTAAGTGACAGTTGTATGCTTGCTGCAGCACTGACAATACTGCAGGAACTTCTTCTTCCACCTTGGCAGATACCACTGTCCAAAGCCAGCCATCTGAAATCATCGTCTGCAAGTCATCACCTTGATGTAGCAGCTGCTCGATTGAAGTATCATCAGGAAGCTTGCAGCCATTTTCCACGCATCTCAAAAAAGCAGTTGTGTGGCTGGCTGAAATTGAGGCAATGGTCTCTTGGCCAGATGGCTTTGCCATAATCCCGCCAGATTGGTCATGCAACCTCTGATTGGCATCAAAGATTGCATCCCTTTGGGCCCCTGAGCCAATTTGGACGCCAACAGGTGACCTGACCTTTGCCAGCTCCCACCCCACTTCTGAAATGGCAAGGCCTTTTTGCAGGACATCGTGTGGGTTGCACATCTGCCCAGATCTGTTCTGGGGATGTACCAGCACCTGATTTGGTTTCAGCTTGCTGCTCCACACCATCCCTGCTTTCTCCAGCTCTGCCATTGTCTTTGATGCCTTCATGTTGATAGGCAAAGCATCATCTGCCAACAACTTCTGGACTTCCTTCACCCAAGGGAGAGACATGGCTATTTTGGCGACAATCAAAATTCCCAGCACTGGAAAAATGCATGTGCACTGCCCTGGGTGGCGAACTACATGGTGGGTTGTTGCACACCTTTGCAAAAGCCTTCTGGTAGCTGTATTCACCTGTGTTGAACGTGCTTGCTCCTTTGTCATGCTTGTTTGTTGCGCATGGTTGCTTCTAGCCATAGAAGCTGCCAGAAATGCAGCTGCCATGTATTGGTTGGAAATTGAAGCCTGCAACGGCTGTTGCATGTGAGCCTGCAAGGGCTTAGCAGAAGAAGCTTCCAAGAGCTGAAAGAAGCCTGCAATGGCTAGTCATGGTGCCTGCAATGGCTATTCATGAAGCCTGCAGTGGCTACTTATGGAGCCTGCAATGGTTACTCATGGAGCCTGCAATGGTTATTCATGAGTCCTTATAGTCTTGCAAAGTGAAGGCCAAGGCTGAAGCGCACCATGGTGTTTTTGTAAAGAAAACTTCTTTAGCCTTGGTTTCTTTGGCGTTTGGAATGACATTTTTGGGATATCTTAATTTTAGGGTGTTTTTAGCTAACTATTTACAATTCTGCTAATGTTTTAACATAATTACAAGAATTAGCATAACCTTTAACATACATTACCTAACATACATAACTTCTAGAATTTTTAGAATATGTTATACACTGTTATAATGGTTTACAACCTTATTAGGAAGCACTTATCAAATTGTTAATAACATGCGTAAATCTTGTAACACATTAGCAAAACCAGCAGCTTCTAAGTGGGACCTGCCGAGCTCAGTGCGCACCGCTGGACCTCAACCTGGCCTTCCGAGCTCAGTGCGCACCGCTGGACCTCAAAAGCCAGATAGAATGCCAGAAGATATGCCAGATAGAATGTCAGATAGAATAGAATGCGAGAAGATATGCCAGATAAAATGCCATAAGATATGCCAGATAGAGTGCCAGGAGATATGCCAGATAGAATGTTAGAAGATATGCCAGATAGAATGCCAGAAGGTATGCCACTTAGAATGCCAGATAAAATGTCAGATAGAATGCCAGAAGATATGCCAGATAAAGTGCCAGAATGTTTGCCAGATAGAATGCCAGAAGATTTGAGTAGATAATATGCCAGAAGATATGCCAGATAGAATGCCAGAAGATTATTTGCCAGTAGCAAAATGTATAAATGTCATGGCGGGGATCACACGAAGTAAAGTAATTTGCGTCTGTGACGTGTACTTGGCCATAGTTTTATATGACGCATATTGTTTGAGTGTGGCTATACCCACGACCCCTCAGAACTGAGGCCCATTCATGGGCCCTGAATGTCGTTCATTTCAGTACATAATTGTGCCATATATTTGGATCTGATATACCCTCTGGTTATTTAATATAGCCATGGTATAGATGGCCCATAGAAATAGATGGTTTACCTGGGTTTACCTCTTAAAACTGGGTGGATTTTCCATGGCTATGTTAACTAACCATAGTGTAATGACCATGATGGGAGAGTGGGTACCACTCAAACGACTCAACTGGTGTTTTGAGGCTCGAAGATGTTTATGCGTGACCCGAAAAAGGTGGGAACAGTGAGTTGGCCGGCAAAGGGAGTCGGCAAGAGGAGGGTTTTGAATATCTGTGTGGGTCAAAATTCAACACCATCTGCAAGTTTCATGAAGTTTCCATCCACATTCATACAAGACATGCATGAAGACATGCAACACAGTCGAGAAGAGAAATAGGGAGAACATGTTGGTTATACAACAGTTGGTTACAACAGTTGGTTTTACATGTATAATAACTAAAAAACATTTGGATAAAACCAACACTTGGTTGCACATTAATTATTATAATTTATATTAATTTATACATTGACATCCAACTGTTGGTTTTCACGCTACATCCAGCTTTGGCAAGGCCTCGCATCTTCGTATCCGCTCGCCCTGGGAGGCGGGGCAGATGCCCCAAAAATCAACAAGGTGGTGGATAGCTAGTAAGTAACTATGGAATGAGGATGAATGAATATATTTTGTGGGATATATATATATACTGGTTGGATCTGGTTGGTGGTTTGAAACATGGCTGTTTTTTTTCCATATATTGGGAAGAATACTCCCAACTGACTATTATTTTTCAGAGAAATTGAAACCACCAACCAGATATGTATATGGATATTTCAACCGACCGTATGATATTTGGCTTTGTCCATGGTTGGCATACCAGGATTTATGGACATTCCGAACGCGAAAGTGGTGATCAGCGATCAACTGTTGCGGGAGCACTCTTTTCAGACAATTCCATAATATTGATCCCCTCTTAATCCCTCTTAATTTCCCACAAAAGGACAAGCCACTAACTTCAAACACCGTCGGTGCGGTTTGTGGTGACTTTTCCCCTTTGTGGGATCCACCGTTCTGCGGTATCATGCGGATACAAGCAGCAAGAATGAGGGCAAAATTATCTGAAACTTAAGTAACGCGAGTGAAAAATGATGAAAATTACCCTCCAGGAGTCAAACATGGCAATGGAAAATCCCCATTTGTAGATGATTTTCCCATCAATGTCTCTATTGATAGGGAGTCTCTCATTGCCACGCTCGATTGCCGGAGGGTCAGTCAGATTGGCATCTTCGAAAAGTGCTGTTCGCGAACTTGACCTCTCTTGAGCACCACAGAGACAAGCATTATCAACAAGTAAGTGGGTGGCACGTACACATATAATAGCTATTTATATATAATGTGTATGTATGTGCACTGTGTACAGGTTTACACCACATAGAAATATACATATACACACGTCTCTATACATCATCAGGAGCACCATATCCTACCTCGCAATGGCTCGTAGATTCTTAACCCCCAAACATGAGAATATTCATAGTGTCGTTTTTGTTTGAACAGTTATTTTCATATATATATATATGTAGAGAAAACGAGACACATATATACATCACTATCGATATATAATATATAAACCCGAACACAACTTTTGCGACCAAACACCCAAAAGAACCTATCTAAAACCTTTGCATCCAAGTATACAGTAACTGTGACTCAATTCTGAAACTCTTTGTTGGATATATCCCCATGTAATTATTCTCATATATATCCATCTGTCCCTTTTGTATCCTTTTGTGGGATTACTATCCTCGATAGGTTCCCCAAATCTTAGTTATAAGTTAAATACCCATCTACTAACATTTATGATGAGAAAATTCCATATAATCACCGTATATCCCCCCAAATCCTCCAAAACCCATTTTCTCATGGCCAACGAAAATCAATTATATCAACTATAAATCCTCAAGTTTGGTTATCCCAAGTTTTTTAGTCACATATCAAAAACCTCCAAAGCCATTCCACCACAGGGCATGCTGAAGCTTGCTGGTGTCTTGGGTGCTGTGGCTGCCGCCTTCCTTTGCTCCCCGTGGAGGTTTGTTCGGGAATGTGGAGGGGAGAATTGACAACCGCGTCACGGTGAGAAAATGAGAAAACCATGAAACAGTCACGGTGGTATAATGGGATATAGAACAAAAAATACAACAAATAGGTGTTTGTTAGGTGGTACCCTTGTGTTGCGTCATGGTAAACTCCAATGCTTGGTGCTTGTTTGAACGTAACCAACAAACATGGTGGTATAATGAGATATATATAATGTATGTTCCATTTGGAATTTAAGTTATGGAATTGCATTGCCATTAGGCTCTACATGGGATTTGACAATTGCCTTGGTTGATTCATGATTACACTATCTGATGAATTGCAGATTATTGCAATCCATGAGCTGAGAGATCCTTTCCCTACCCGGGCCCAGCCCCCTGTCAAGTAGCCAGTAGAAAGGGACGACAAACATCTGCAGATCATCGGAATATCATGTGGGAACCTTGATAGGGATATAGGGCGTGTCCAAAAAAAGGTATATACATCGGTACCCCAAATGCATGGCAATTTGGATGGGAACGATTATGCCTGGCAATCGGGAATACTGTGCCCAATGTTTGACAAACGCATTTTGTTGTAGTAGCAGGTAGATGGAAAAACACATGTTGGAAGAAACACCAATACACGCAACCACACAGCAGGTATGGATGATAGATGATGTTCGACGTGGTCGTAGTTTGAATCATTCCCCTTTTGGTCGTGATATCATCCCTATATAGGTCCAGTGATTGCCCTAGAAATCGTCTTCCCATCCGGTATAGATGATATGCCCCTTGTGGGTTAGCGTCGATTCTCAAACATGGTCTCAGAATGTCTCAGAAACATGATGCCTCAAGAAAGTTGATCAAACATAGATCATGTACCCCAACAGGATGCCTGACAGAGACAGAGGTTTCTTTTACAAGGACTTGTTATTTGGGGCAGACTCCTGGAGTCACTCCAGTGACCATTGGCGAAGCCTTTGCAACTAGTTGTTAGACACGCATCTTGGAAACAGCGAGGTATGTTGGTTCGCTGAAGCCTACCAATGACTATCCCACGCCTAAGTGGCCCCGGGCCATCGTCAGCCAGGATGGTGCTGGTCATGGAATGCACCTACGTGGTCAGTTTATTTGTGGCGGCCTTAGACCGGTGGGTTCAGTTAGTTGATAGTTCCACGATCAACCCCGGATTCATAAACTCAGGTGATTAAAAATCATAGGGTTCCCCCCCCAAATAATGACAATTTGCTGCTTAAATGGGACCGCTCCCGTCAAACATCAGATCGATAGGGATATACCGTAGCCATCATACCCGGGAAGATTGACCAAGGGAAGATGACCAGCAACAATGGGTTCCATATACCACCAAAGGTCGCCAATGTGGCTCAACTTGCAACCCCCCATTCGCAGAGTCTTTAATGATCGGAAGTTTTACGGGTCTGTGGCCATTTACACCTTTACAACCGGGTACTCGTGCCTCAGGTTCTTTGTTGTAACCCTACTATCGCTGATACTTGACCATATTTGTTGGTCAGTTCCCCAGCTGTGTTGTTCTTCTTCTTCTTCTTCGTCTTCGTCTTCTTCTTTCTACATCCCCATTTTACTGGCCTATCTACCTTACTGGCCTATCTACCTATGGTCAGCTGGGCACGTCTCAAATCGATCCGAATTGTCACCAGTCAGCCAGCTTCAGCCTGTCCCCAAAGGGTCAGAATTGCTCTGAACTGCTGCTGGCCTGTACAATAATGTCAACATATGTCAACCCTGGATTTATAGACCCCGAACGGCTGTTTAATTGGGGTACCAATGAAGTATACTATACTGTCACTATTTGAAGGCTACCCCCTAATATCTGAATAGTAATATAATGGTGATATATATCATATTCACTTTAATGGTTCATATATCATGTATCATACTATCACCAAATATAATGAACCATGGTTTTTGGATCTGGGGTTAACACCACTGGTCTAACCGAGGTTGGCCCCATCGTCTATCATCTCCTGGCAGAATGAGCGTAAAAGATGGTGGAGCCAGCTGATGTTCCCCCCGGTTTTTTTACCCGGAAAGATCGGTGTTTTATGGATTTTCATGGTATGTTGTGCTATTTTCATGGTATGTTCATTGTATTTGAGCTCTTCTTCTTCTTTTATATTTACGTGTAATGTAACACATTTTTGTGGTCGTTGTGAGGGTCGGTACATACATGCGATGTGCATCACGGGTTGGTGTTCCTCACATACTAGCAATTACTCAGCAACTTGGGGACCCAAAGCGCAAACTAGGTATGGATCAATACCTATTAATACCATTTTTAGGGGGATGAACATCCATTTACCAGCTATTTTGATGTTCACCAGGGGTACAAGGTTTTGACACACTGCCAACTAATGAAGAACCAGTGCTGATTGGGAACGATTCCATCTCCTTGGAATAGCTGCTTTTAGTGAAGTGGGGTCCTTTGGCTTACATTAACAGCGGTTAAAGGTCGTTGAAACGAGGGGCCATTGCGACCATGGCAGGTACAGATTCAACTAGGTGAGCAAGTGCGATGAACATCTCGATTGGCTCAGGAGAGAGTTTAGTTCACAGTTTTGGGATGTTTTGGGATTTGGGTGTTTTTCAATGTTTTTCATCCAGATTGACAGAGATTAGCTCCATTCTTCCACCTGGGTGTATCCGATGGTTTTTTTTCCTGGATCAGAAAGTCGAATGTGAAAAATCCTTTGAGTGGCAGACAACACATGGGCATGTGATGTATACCCTCTGGTAAACTAACATAGCTATTGAAAATGGCCATAGAAATAGTGGATTTTCCCATTGAAAATGGTGATTTTCCATAGTTACGTAAACGTTTACCAGAGGGTAACCATGATTCTAGCCATCTCGAAATTGGGGCCCTGGGGCCCTGGGTCAAACATGTAGTACCTGAGGGTGCGTATTTGGACCCCTCAAAGGGCTGGACATTTATATTATCCCTGGTGTTTATACTATCAATGGAAAATCACCATTTTCAATGGGAAAATCCACTATAAATGGCCATTATTATTGATGGCATCAACATTATTACACTATCAAACCAGCATCAATTTTTGCTGTTGATAATGTTGATCGGTCCATGGCCCATAAATGTACCATGATATGAAGGTAAACCGGTAAACCATCGCACGTTTGGGCCCTATAAAATGCCTAACAGCCAGGTAAAATGCGTTCCAAGCCACTCCTCAGTAGCATTGGTGCATCTTATAGCATCATTTATCACCACGACCATCATCATCACCATCATCACCATCATCTCCATCATCACCATCATCACCATCAGCACCACCATCATCACCATCATCACCACCACCATCATCACAATCATTCTCATTCTCACTACAGTAATAGTAATATTCTGATGAGTCGCAGATATATACACACACTTTTTTGGGGTATGGTATCAATCTGTTTAAAGCTACATACTTCATGATAATGTAATGTAGATGCTAATGTATGTGTATATAATGTAGTACATATGTATGTCATATGTGTACTTATCTCATTGCATACACATAGATGCACAGATGCATCCACGTGACTGCCAAGCAGATTTTACTGGAGCCATAGCAGAACCAGTGCCATGTTTCCACAATTTGGTGCCCCAAAGTTTGCTATGTTGGTTACTGCCTTGACGAGGGTTGATGGTGATTATGAAGAAAAGTAGCCTCTGGTAAACGTTTACGTAACTATTGAACATCACCATTTTTAATGGGAAAATCCACTATAAATCACCATTTTCAATGGCTATGTCAGTTTACCAGAGGGTACTTAGATGGTCTTATAATCAACATAACCAGGGGCACCACCTTGTAGGGATAACAAATTGTGTCGAACCTTATGACTCTTGAGCCACAGGTGCTTTTTCACGATCCATGAGCCACATAGGGCTTCTAATCCCTGACAGGCAACAATGAACCCCAAGAAACCCATAGTTCAGTGCTGAATCTTTCATTTTGGAGCCATATTATGGAGGCATTTCTTGGTGACAATAGCAGCGGATTTCATGTACAATAACAAATAATATTGACTCTACAATTTGTCAAGCAGGTAAAATTATGGCATGAAAACACACTGCATCGGCAACAAAATCTTGTCCATCCAGATACCACTCAAATCTGTGTTGCTATCCAGGACCAAACTAGCCATTGCACGCATGGCCAGGTGCCCATGATCAGTTTCACAGCTTGAGGATCGCATGACTGAAGTCCGATGCGAGCCAGATCTAGATGGAGGTTGTAAACTGTGTTGAAACATATTTTTCCTGCAAGTTTGAGACTGCATTGATTGCAACCTTCCAATTTTCGAAACTTCGGGTTGCTTCTGATTCAATCTCTTTTGATCTGTTTTTGATCATGTTGTTTGTTGCTTGATGTTGCTTGATCAGACTGCGCGTGACCGATCCAACCTAGCAACGCCTATTGGGGCGTCAATCTCGGATTTGAAGGAGAGGAGGGACGGATTTAGTGATATCCAACATCAAACCTCTTTCTTCATATGGATAATTCAATTATAAATCTATCAAAAAATAGTATTGATAAACACAACTAATTATGATAGATATAATTTGTATATAATAAAATACAATAAATTGATTCTATATATTTGTTGAAATCGAACCAATATATCTAATAAATTATCGATTTGGATTGGATTCCTTCTTGGAATTTGAATATTTTTTTAATATTGCGAAATAATATTACATTATGAATAATTATGTGTTTATATATCATTATATATATTACATATTATATTATTATATTATATTATATTATATTTTATTTATTATATTATATTGTATTGTATTATATTATATTATATTGCATTGTATTGTATTATATTGTATTATATTATATTATACTATATTATATTATATGTTTTTTTTTATATAGATATTATAGTATATTGTATTGTATTATATTACATTGTATTGTTATGAGTCCAACAACACAGAGAATATAGGGTTTGACAAAAAAATTAAAAAAAAAACAAAACCAGAGCAAACAAAAAAAACAAACTTGAAAACTAAAAACAAGGAAAAAACAAAAAAAAAACAAAAAAAAAACAACGCCAATTCCAGGACCAATGACCAACATGTGAAAAAAAAAAACAAAGAAAAAACAAAAAAAAACAAGGAAAAAACAAGGAAAAAACAAGGAAAAAACAAGGAAAAACATAGAAAGCACAAAGAAAAAAACAAGAAACAACAAGAAAACAAAGAAACACAAACAGAAGCAACCACAAAACAAACAAACAAGCAACATTAGATTAAAAAACGAAAATAACAAAAGCAAAACAACGAAAACACAAGAGACTCGACAAAGATGCACCCTGCGGAGAAACAAATTGGAAAGAAACCAAACGGGAGAAACCATACAAGGATATTGTGACATTGTGACATTGTGACAGTGATGACATGGCAAAAAAACAGACAATGCGGTGCTCATGTTCTGACACAAACACATATGCCCTTATCCCTTTTGCACTGGGCCGCAAGTTGATGTGATATAGTTTGATTTCATGTCGCCATTTCAGCATCAACATCTGGCCTACACGGCCGCGCAGACCCAGCCCGTTTCTGATGACGTGGGCAAAGGCTGCGGAATCTCATGCTCTCCAGGAGGAGGCAGAGTCTGAGAGTATAGAGGAAGCGGAGGCGATCCGTTCTCAGTCGCCCCCACCATCACCGGACTCTGAAGGGGGCGACTCAGATGGTCAGTTTCTTCCTGAACTTTATTGGGCTCACCCTATCATGAAAGTTTTGGCAGAAAACCTTGGCAACGCTGGGAAGATGAATCGGGAGCTTACCCTTGTCTCTGCTTGCTCTGGCTCATTGGCAGAATCGACAGTGCTACAGGCCGAGCTTTGAACAACTATTTGTTTGTGCGATTATTGTCGCAATTTCCTTTTTCCAAACTCTTACATTTTCTATGCCCTGAAACGCTTTTTACAAACCAACACTAAAACGCTGCCAAGTAATTGAAATTCAAAGAGTAGTGGCAGCAGGAACCCTGCATTACAATGCAACGAAGTAACTAAGGCTCCAAGGTGAACTATATGATTATGATTTTGAGACACCCCTAACTGGCCCTAACTGGTATACAATGGAAGCAAGTGGGATTGGTTTTAAATGAGTCTTTATGCGCGGTAGCGGCTTAGTGACAGAGTGGTGGCTAAGTTTGTGACTTCCACCTATGGACCTATGGCATGGGTAAAGGGCATGGTCTCCCAGTGGACTGAAAAACCATTCAGGTGCATTTGTTTTCGGCTTCAGTTTTTTTCAGAAGTGCAAATTCGCGAATGTTTGTTGCGAAAAAGACCCACTGGACAGCAAAATGCTTACCACCCGTTGGCCGTGTTTGGGGTTTTAATTTCCATTTGCCGTCATAGGTGCTGGGAATCAGCCACAAGATTCTGAGTGCCTCTGACAATGACACCGGTGCATTGGACTTCATCCGTGCCAATTTTGAAGTTGAGCACCTTCATGACAGCATGGAATCCCAGACTTCCGGCCAAACCTGCTTGCTGTGCCGAAGCAAAGGCAAATGCTGTGTGATTCCGAAGAGAGCAGATCTGTTTGTAGCAGGTCTACCCTGCAAGCCATATTCTTTGCAGCGTGCAAAACGCTTCGCCTCAGGGTCGGTAAAAGGCCATAGTGCATACGATTTGGCATTTGGTGAATTTGCTGAATGGCTCAATGTCCACAATCCGAAATCTGGGGTGTTTGAGAATGTCATGGGGATGGACATGGGCGAGGATTCTGCTGACGAGTCCACTCCACTTCGCAGGACGCCTCTTGCATTTTGCACGTTCGTTTCTTTGAACTGATCACATGATTTGACTTGAATGAATTCAACCCCTTGGTCCGAGGGGTTAATAGTCAAAAGGTTTGTGTCGCCGTTAATGCCCAAACTCGAGACATGGCCAGGATATTTGCGTATAGTATAGTAAAATTTATATACATTCGTATATGTATAATTATTCTTGTATTATCATTATTAAATCTGTTTAATTTATTCAAATTTACCCTATATAATATGTGTTCTGTTCTACTGAGCGATCCCGACCCGGAAACACACAAATATGATTATAGCTTCTGACATATTATCTAGAAGAAGGGTATACGGCATATATTCTGACATTCTATTGGGCATTCTTTCTGGCATATGCCAACATTCAATCTGACATTCTAGCATTGTATCTGGTATCTATTTTGACATACTTTCTGGCATCTACATTCCGGCATTCTATCTGACATCTCGCATTTTATTTGGCATCTATATTGACAGTCTTTCTGGCATTCTATCTGGCATATGTTCGGACATCCTCTCTGGCAGTCTGTCTGTCTATCTGACACACACACACATATATATATATATATATTATATATCATATATATATATATATATATACAGTTTGTCTAGCAGCATTCTCTCTGGCATTCCAAGTACATTTTCTCCGGGTCCGGGCGTCGGCGGGCCCAGGTGTGGCCCACTGAGCATCCGGAGCTGGCGATGGGGTTCGGGCCCGGAGTGTGCAATAGAGTTCGATGAGGAGGAAGGCAGAGAAGGAAGGAGTGAAGGAGTGAGATGGGAGTGAGGGAGCGAGGGACTGAGCCATATGTTAAAATTTAGAATCTAGATTCCAGATAATCTAGAGACCCTCACCTGACAGGTGGGGAGATGATATCTATATATATATATATATCTGTGTGTGTGCATTTATTTGTTTAATTCTACATTCTACGCACATTCTACATTCTACAGACACACATATATATATATGATGAGACAATGATGGTTATCATTACATAAATACATTATACTCTTCTTATTTCTCTTGATTTCAAGGCTTCACCGATCGGTCATCAGGTGAAGAGGTAGTAAGTATATATAATATATACATGGCTAGGCTGCGGCTAGGTCTTGGGGCACATGTAAACCGGGCCCTTTTCCAAGTTGTGTTTCTCTGTGTTGAGAAAAGTAATATGTGACTGAACTTGGCGGCATGAACACCAATGCTTTCGCTCCTTTGCAGTCCATCATGATAGCTCTTGGCCACTTTGCTGTGCACATTTGGCACCGCGCAGGTTGATGGATTTACTGAAAAAGTTCCCTTGGACTGCGACTCCTGGCTGGGACTTTTTACTTTTCCACATGGATTTGGCCGATTGGATTCGCGTCAAGCGTCCAAGGACTGCGGGAATTCTTGCGATGGCCGGGGTGTGGAACTGTCACTAGCTGCCGCTGAATTTCATAACTATAACTGCAAGTAGTCAACTAGTCACTTGTCTCATTTCTGAATATGTGACGGGCTTGGTCTTGTTCGCATAGTAGCATCAGCTGTCAGCCATGTTGATGATTCAACAGGCAACCGGAACCTGGAACATTGAACCAGAATCCAACCGCCCAGCAATTTGATTGGACCAGATCATATGTCATATTTCACCTCCCCATGCCATGGGAAGCAGCTGCGCAAGCCTTTGGCAGAGCAGCCGTGGCCCGTGGAGATGATGATTTGAATCCTAGGCCGAAAGCCAAGGCCAAGGGCCGGCCTAGGAAACAGAACCTATTTCAAAGGCTTGAATCACTCGAGTTACCAGACGCAAGCCGCCAGGAAAACGCAGATGAATCAAACAATTATGCTGTTGTTCCAGCCGGACCAGTGCAGGAGGTGGTGACCTCGCTAGCTATGGTCTTGCACTTGCACAGCTTCCAAACATGCCTTTCACCATTGCAAAAAGCTATTTTCCTGGCCAGCAGACATTATACCGACAACCTTGGCCAAGAGTCTGAGGAATCCTCCAAGAGTCCCATGCAAAAGTTTTTGCGCCACATATTTTCTCCAACCTGTCCACCCTACTATCAGACATCGAAACGTGTGCTGGAAAGGATGATTGATGGACGCATGGATCTTTTTTGGGAATACGCAGGGTCAAGCGTTGTTGAAAGCGGCGCTGCGCAGTGGGCATTGTTTTTGCAGCGGCTCCAGCAAAGCGCAGGCGACTTGAGATTGATTTTGTTTGTGAAGCAGAGAATGTATGACGAGACCCCTCTGAAGGTTCGCCATGCCAAAGGCCGGACAAAGGGGCCAGCGCAAGCCATCACCAAAGTTCTTCAAACTCGTTACAGGCTTGGTGTGGTCGTGAAGGTGAAGGCCACAGGCGAGCTTCTCTGTTTTGCGGGCTGGGCGCCGACATGGTTGCAAGCCATGTCCGCTTGCAAAGGAGAGGATATCATGATGGCCCAGCTGGCGATCGAGGACTCTATTCCAAATGTGCAAACTGTCAGCGAAAGGTTTGACATCGCAGTGCAATGCATCACCACAGACCGAGACCCAGCCAACCTGAAGGCCGAATTGGGCATTCAACGTTCGCATCGCCATTTTCGGCGCTTACATCTTCCCTGTGATGTTCACAAACTGTCGTCATCAATGACGTACATGTTCAACTTGACAGATGCGGAGGTTTCAGGCATGGTTAACTATGGTCTTCTTTTCCGACCTGCAGGGGCAGCTGCCAAGTTCCGGGATTGCATCATGGATGAAATCGAATCCAAGCTGCAAGTTGTGATTGGCCCACCGCCTGCTGGAGAAGTTCAAACATACCGTCATCAAGTGTATGACCTGTTCCTCTCGAGCTCTCACTCCAATGAGAAAGTTCGAAAATTTAAACAGAATGTGCAGAATGTGCAACGACTGACTTTGGACTTCTTCTTGAATGGGGACATCCAAGACGAAGATGTCATTTTTTGGTATGCTCCTTTTGAAGTTACTAGAGAGACCGCGCTGCAGCTGTTCCGCAAGTATGTCCCCAGAGCCTTATTTCCAAGTTCTTTGCTCATTTTCCCGCGCCATCGGTGGCATGGAGCGGAAATTCCTGTTGATTGTTTGGGCCTACTCGCTAGCCACCACAACCTTTTGAAGTATGCTACCATCCGCTACTTGGCGCTATTCGGCTGGAAGCCGAAATCGGTTTTGGTTGGTGCACCTGGCGCCGGAGCTGGGGGGTGGACATATGCAGCTGCCTCGCTACAACCTTTGGATGATGACCCGCCAATTCAGGAAGAGCAAGGGCAAGACGAGTCCGCCCTGGCGCTGCCTGTCCCCACTGCAAATGCGTCGCAAAATCCTGACGTGGATTCAGCACAACAATGGGAACAGTTCAACCGCTCAGTGCGGTCAGCAGTAGGGGCATGGGTGGAGCAAGATTCTTTTGAAATCTTGCCCGTCATGCGCCTTGCCATGACGCCAGCAGTTGATTTGATGTTCAAGTTCCTCGATGTAGCTGGAGATGCCTGGGAATCGGAGCAAAATTTCAAGCACATGTCCACACAGTCCAGAAAGTTTCGGGTTGTCGAGGCTTGGAATGGGGAGGACGTCAAGAATGCTTGGAGTTCTTTTGCACGTGTCATGCACCAAGCAATTCCAGCTGTGCCTGCAAAGGCTTGGAAACGGAGTGTCAGTGCTCTTCTTTTTCGTCAGCTCTCTCGCATTTTCTGTGCCGTGCATCAACTCATTCGACTGCCCAGAAGTGATTTTCCATATCGTTTGTTTTCCAGCCTTGGAGGAGGTGACGATCAGATTTCCGAAATGCTTGCTGCTCCGAGGTGTTTGTTTGACATTGTCTCTTCGGACATAGTGGCAAAGTATCCGACAGTGGCGGACATGAAAGGTTCAGAGGCGCAATGCTTGCTGGAGTTCCTAGCTTTCTTGACTTGTGTTGATGTTTCGCAGATCGAATGCAGGCATGCTGCAATCCGGCGTTGTTTGGAAGCATCGTCTGTGCAGACATGGCGAGCCAATTTTTCTGAGCTTTCGGCGAAGTTTGCCTGCCGTCAAGCAGGGGCTCGGGAAGAAGACCTGGCTACAAAGCTGACTGGTAAGGCCACAAGCGTTCCCAAGAAAGGGAAAAAAAAACAGAAAAAAAAGAAGGCACGGCCACGTGCTGCAGTTTCGCAAGGCAAGCGCAAATATGTTCGGAAGCAGGAACATTCAAAGGGTGGTGGTGCCCAGAGGGCTTTTTTTCATGAGCAGCTCTTACGACAGGGGCCTTTGAAGAACAAGAATCGCTCATCTTTGTTTACGGAGCTGCATGCACAGTTTCGAGCGCTCAGCCCAGAAGAAACTTTGCTATGCCAAGGTATATGTAATATGTACGATTTTTTTGTTGCTCTGTTCGATATTGTTTAATATAGGAATTATAGGTAGGCATTGTGGAGTGTGCAGTGAAATAGAGGGGTTCCAACACCATGTGGAATGTAGAGGCTCAGAGGCCAGGAAAAGATTTTTAATTAGTTCGGACGGATGTGACGCATGCTCACAAGTCTCTCTTTTCCCTGAAAACTTGCATCTCAGGAGAAGAAAAAATACAAAGATTTGGGCGAGCTGGGCACGTATGCTCACAAAGGTGGGCACCCCTCTTTTGGACAGAACTCCAAGACTCGGAAGCGGCGCCCCGTGCAGCGCAGTATGGACCAATTAGCTGTCGCAAATTTCCAGCAGCAGATTTTGAAACGACGGCGAAGCATTGCCGCGGCTACTTCTCTGGCAGCTGAGAGTTATAGGTCACGGATGGGTGATCTTGCCACCCATGTTCGTCAGAGGTTGGAATCTTTGATCAGCTCAGGCAAAAGCTCGGCTCCTCCGTCTGATCAACTTGTCCCTTTGCCCGCTTCAAACCTGCTTGCAGAGGTGTTTGTTCCAAATGTTCAAGTGGCCAAGGACCGGGGCTTCAACGGCTTTTGTATGTGCTTACCCTACCGGCCCTACCGGGCTTCGCCGTTGTGTATTTGATGCAGGAAATCATTTTTCGGTGGGTCCAAGAGATG